CTTTTTTACATGTCCTTCTTGCCACTTTCCACACCCATGTGCAAATAAAACTAAATGTTTCCATTGCCCAGTCATGTCCGGCTCTATAGGGTGGGGCTCATCTCCGTTTCTTAGCCGAGAAATATTGTCTGAAAATATTTCTCTGTTCACGTGGCCAGCATGACTATATGCCGAGATGTACAGAACACTGTTACCTTCCCACCGAAATGATATCTATTTATCTACTTGTTTTTGCATGCTTTTGAACTGCTAGGTTCGCAAGTGCAAATAGCCTGCCTCAAAAAAATGAGAAGCCAAGTTCAATTCTTCAACTTGTACTAGGAATTTGCATGCAACATGCAAAGCTGTCCCTCTCAAACAATGATACCTTAGCCTTTACTCCAGATGTATTTGGCAATCTATGGTAGAGAAGAAACGTGCATGAGCCACCGTGGTACAGTGGTTAGAGTGCAGCAGTGCAGGCTACTTCTGCTGACTGCCAGCTGCCTGCAATTTGGCAGTTCAAATCTCACCAGGCTCAAGGTTGACTCATCCTTCGGAGGTCGGCAAAACGAGGACCCAAATTGTTGGCGGCAATATGCTGATTCTGTAAACCGCTTGAGAGAGGGCTACAAAGCACTGTGAAGCGGTATATAAGTCTATTGCTATTGCTATCAATAATGAGTGACATGGAGGCATCATTTGGCTTTCACTAGATCAATGGAGAAGAAAAATGCTGCAAGATCCTTAACTATGGTTGTAGATTGAAGCTTGGAATATACTATTTTGCTTTCTTTGCTCAAAGTCTCCTGAACATAACCCTGAATGGTTCTCTGTACCATTAAGCCAGCAATACTCAAATAATAATTTCAGATACTTTCTGAACTGTCACATCGGAAGGAATATGCGGTGCTGCAGCTCAATCTAAACTGTTTAACCAGAGCTAAGCAATCCATGTTAGGTCTGTACCCAGGATGCATTTATTTGCAGTAATTCTTACCTTGCAGGGCCTCTCCATTGTGGCCAGGTCTGCTTGCAAAGCATTTTGTATCTTTCCAGGCAAGGCTCATAAGTTTGACGGAATGCATATCCTGCCCTTCTGACTCGGACATTTTCCATCAGACCTAAATATCGAACTTGATGGCACACAAGAGCATCACTGAAGATGTGTGCTGCTTTTTGGTCATTAGGTTTAATACATCTGCAAATCAAAGAATTTGTTGAGAAAAAGTGCAGTACCTAGAACAGAAATCTATTATGCCCACCATTCATTCATTCAAAATATTCAGTAGAAATTGGCTTCCCCCCATCCAGATTCTATAGCTTCCAGGCACCCAGTCAACATCGTGGTTGCATCAGTTGCCTGACTGTGGTGGAGATGTATATAACTAGGTAACATCATCATACTGATGATATAGTACTACATACTGGCAAATGATCTCAACCAGCAGTTTGATGTAAATGTTAAAGAGGAGAGGAGAAAGACCTGAATCTTGAGGGATCTCACACTGCAGGGGCCTGAAATTTCCCGTCCCGACTGAAACTGACCACAAAAAAGGAGAAAAACCACCATAAAACAGTGCCTCCCACTCCCAGCTAGTGAACCTGACCGTGGTTGATGGTATCTGTTGTGTTTTTGTGACGCAGCCGCCAGGCGGGGCCGGAGCAGCCGTTACCTGATTGGCTCGGGCACGCCTGACGGATGGCGGGAAAATCACCAGCCACCCATTGGCCAGCCAACTGACAGCTCGGGTATATAAAGAGCTGTCAGTTGGGCTAGCGCTGTCCGCGTTCTGAAACACCGTTGTAGTTGACTGTTATAATAAACCGTTCCGTTTTACCTCACGCCTTGGTTCTTAATAGTATCAAAAGCTGCTGAGACCGAGGAGGGACAGGAACTCAGCCCTCTTGTGTTCTCCAGAGTTCACCTACAAGTGGAACCAATGCCACCTTGGTACTGTACCCCAGCCTGAATCCTGACTGAAGAGGGTTCAGATGATCTGTTTCAGCCAAGGCTCTCTGCAACTAAGTGCCAACTACCTTGCAACAACCTTCCCCAGAAATGGAAAGAAGGAGAGTGGATAAAAGTAATCTAAAGCTGTTGGATCCAACAGTCTGGTTTTACAACCAAAGAAGGAGTAGGTATTACTTTTATTTATTTTTCATACTCCACTACATTTTTAATTTCTAAAAGTATACCCCATTGTTTAATAGTAAATTGCTTTTCCAGGCAGAAAAGCTATTTATGCTACTGTATTTTTATTATTCAACTAATAACTAATAACAAAAATACAATAGCATAAGTAACATGATAATACATGTTATTTACAAATATAAGATCTAACAGCAGCGATAAATTTGCAGGATAGTAAATAGAAATGGCTCTCAATTATAAATTGTCGATTAAATGGACCTACAGTATGTGAAATCTGGCATTAAACTGTAGTATTAACATAGGATGTTGCTTGTTTTCTATCCAGATCAGGCACTTATTCGATGCCACATAATTGTAATCCAGTTCAATCCAGTCCTCCTGCAGCAATCTGTCGGCTGAAAACGGGCTGTGCGCAGCCTGTTTTCCGTTGGCAGGAGTGCTGCTGGAGACCGTGGAGGCCAAAATGGGCCATGTGGGGGCCTTACGGGGCTTCCATGTGGTCCATTGTTGGCTGGCAGAGTGCTGCAGGAGGCTGTGAAAGCCAAAAACGGGGCACAGGGAGGCCACATGAAGCCCCTCCTTCCCTGTGGCCCATTTTGGTTGGTCCTTTGGTATTTCCAGGGCCTTGAGTTTCCCCTACCATAGAGCAATTAGAACCATTAATTTATGGTGAGATTTCCCCTTCATCTTTGGGGGGGGAAAGATCAGCTAAAATAAATTGCATCATATTTAGATCATATCCACTCAGTTGAGATACTATGAATATTCATAACAGGTCTTTTTGTAATTTGAAACCGGGACATATAAAAGTCACCTAATTAAAAAAAATACCTCTTTTCCAACTAAATTATATTCAACTGACATAAATAGATCACTCTCTTTCATGCTCTCATTTAGAGTATGAATTAAAGATTACCATTGTCGCAAGCGCAATTTCTTCCATTTCCTGAACTTTACCTGATGTAATTGGGATTTTTTGTTTGCAAGTTCCTCATCAATGTTGCCACAGAAACTTTGAACTGGGAACCTGCTGTTGGTGGCCTCTTTAAATTAATCTTGACAGGGTTTCCTTCTGGAAATAGTGCTTTAATGAGGGAGTGGTTGGCCTTCCACATAGCTTGAGACAGATCACGGTAAAGCAGGTCATTATTCTTGTCCACAAACCCTTCTACCTGATACATCACCTAAAACAACAAACCAAGAATCTAAATAAGCAAAGGTGATCAATTCTGGGAGGAGGAAAAACACACCAAGAACAAATTGATCACATTATCCAAATGACTATCTTTTTACATCCAGCATTAATTCTCATAAAATTCCATCACTTATTGGAGTTCAGAAGTTTCTACCATAAGAAAGAGAAAGGGTATTAAATTGTACATCTCTCTTCAATTCTGAAATTGCTGTCATGTTTGCGTAAGTATTGGAATGAAAACCACCAAAGGCAACTCATCAATGCATGCTGTTTCTCTCGGATCTACTACCCTACCTTTATTTATTTATTTTACATACCATCCATCTCATGGTCAAGTAACACTGGGTGACTTACAATATCATAAAACAGGAATATAAAACATTAAAATGTTAAAACATTAAATATATTAAAAGTTAACAGATACCAGGAACCCACACAAAAATGGGATGAAGATGAGATATTCATCTTATTCTACTAACCACCTTCAGGGTGAAAGGACCCCATGGGGGCCCCAAGCCAATTAGCAGAACATGGTTTTGTGGCCTCTTCAAAAGGTCAAGTGGATCTCAGTTTGACGGGGAACATGTTCCAGAGGGTGGGAGCCAGAGCAGAAAAGGTTCTTCCCCTGGAACCCACCAGCTGTAATTTCTTGACCAATTGAGTCCACAGCTTCTGCCTAAGTGAATGGGGCAGCTCAATCCCCTAGGGGTGATATTTCATGGGATTTGAGCCTTTATCTTCTCGATGAAGAGGAGGGGGAATGTCAAAAGCAAACATATTTTCAAATATTCAAGGCTATTTGAAATCCTTACCTTGCCAGCATAATGTTGAATTCTGAAGCAACAGTGTGGGAGGGAAGTATCGTTCAAGAAACGTGAACATTTGCTCATCCTGCTTTCAAAGTGTTGGTGAGTAGCACAGACCTGGTTTAATTTGTCTAAGAAGGTTTCATCAGTAACAGCCCCTGGCCGCAGACATTCTTCATCTAGCATAGCTAGGATTCCATTCTGATGCTGTTGGGTAATGTAACAGTTCATTTTATTATTAGGGCATAAATATTCTATCATATGCTTTAAAAAGTACTTACACTTGATTGCTCTATGATGAAAAAAAAAGTGAATCAGATTTCAATGTCCAATTTTTTGTCTACTGATTTAGACCATATAGACAAGCGACAAGCATCAAGCAAACTATGAACAGAATATAACAAGCAGAAATAACATTTCTAAGTATCATTCACCTGAAAACGAGTTAGTAATTGTTGTAAGAAAAAACATACGGCATACATGAAACTGAAATATTAAGATTTGGAGCTTTCTGTTCAAGCCTTCTAAGAGGTTTCCAGTCTACTTTCCCAGGTTGTGAACATCTATCTTTCCCCATTCCCCTGAAGATAGATGTACTACCATAAAGACGGATCATAGCTTAATTTTTTTAAAAGCCATACATTCCCATCACATAGAGTTTTAAATAGAGGCTATGCAATGATAACAGCAACACTGATTCCAATATGAATCATTCTATCTAACTATCAAGGAACCCCCCCCCCCCAAAAAAAAAACTTTCCACAGTTTGAAGCTGATTTTAAGGCTGATTCACACTTAATGGCTCAACTGAGAATCTATGTTCTGCAAATTCTCAAGAGATTCTGAGAAC